GACACAGCCAGGCCCTTAAGGCCATCGGCATCACCTTCCGGGATGACCTCACCCCGGCAGGTCGTCAGCTCAAGCAGGCTCGGAACGCGCAGTTCCTGCGGCTGCGTGACGAGGGCCGCAAACCCAAGTGGCTGGGCCCGTACATCGAGTACCAGCGCACCGACGGCATGTACTACATGGTCTCCAAGTACGACGTGTCCGACGTTCCGCCCCCCCCGCCCCAGCCCCCGGCCGGGAACGGGGCTGCGGCGGGCACAAGCGATGGACGCGTGACCACAGAGGGTGCTGTCGAGGGGAGCGCCGCCTAGAGTGCTATGAGTCGTGAGGCTAAAGACATCAGGGTCTTGCTTTGGAACGTGTGGGGTTTGTCGGTAGCTAAGCTCACCGACCCATCTTTCCTCCGCATTGCCCAGGACCACGATGTGCTAGTATTTACGGAAACACACTGTTCGGCGCAGGCCGGGAAGCCGGCCAAGGCCCTGGCCCTGCCAGGGTTTCAACTGCATGTAGCTGAGCGAGCCTGTAGAGGCGGAGCCGGGCCCCAGACGGGCCGGCTGCACGGGGGTGTGTCTGTTTATATCCGGGACGCGATTGCCCGGGATGTCACTTTGTTGAGGGTTGACACGGATATTGCGGGCTGCGAGTCTATTTGGTTGCGTTTGGGCGGCAAGCAAACAGGTCAGGATAGCACCCTGGTGGGTGCATGCTACGTCTCCCCCAGGGCGTCGGTAGTACACCACGCGTCCCTGAGGGCACACGAGTCTGACGGACAAGCAGCGGACGAAGTGTTTGATCATCTGGCCACCGTCGTGGGCGCCCTCCGCCAGTCGGGTGAGAGGATCCTGCTTCTGGGGGATTGGAACGCGCGCGTGGGGGGGCTGCCCAACCACCTCTCCGACATCCCGGGCCTAGACTATCTTGACGATTTAGGAGAGGAGGTCGGGTGCCCTTTTGTGGACGGCGAGGCATACAGAGCACTGCTGGGTGTGCCCCGCCGGTCGCTAGATCAGGAGCATAATGCGTTTGGACGTAAACTGCTCGAGTTGTGCCGGGTTTCAGAGGTTGTCATTCTCAATGGGCGGGCACCGGGTGACACTGAGGGCAGGCTCACATACGAGTCCAGCCGGGGGGGAGGCAGCATGATTGACCTTGTGCTTGCGTCCCCTTCTTTGTACCCGTGCGTGCGTTCCTTCCGTGTCCTGCCACAGCAATCTTTTTACCGTGAAGAACGCCGCTTGAGTGATCATAACCCCGTGTCCCTTCACCTCGCGTCGGTTTGGAGGCCGGACCGGCCACCCACGCGTAAACCCAAGCCGACGTTTCTTGTCTCTGAGGCGCACAGGTACACAGACATGTTCTACAACCCGGAGGCCCCCCCTGTGGTTGGTGTCCGGGCGGTTGTGGATTCCCTGCGTGCTGGCCAGATTGGTGTCACCCAGGCGGTGGACACTATCGAACGGATTTTGCTGGGTTGCTTCGGTGATGCCTTCAGGCCCGGGCCGGTTTCTAACGGCAAGGCGGCGTGGTGGAATGATGAGTGTGCTGCGGCTAAGCAGGCCATGTTGCAGTATCGGTCTGATGTGATGAAGTGGGGGTGTGCTGCCCCGGCTATGGGGCATACGAGTTTTCAAGAGTTACGTCGTCAGTTTAATCGTGCTAAGCGTAACGCGCGACGGGATCACCGGCTGCGAGCTTTGGAGTCATTCATAGCTACATGCAAACGTGATGCGAAGACCCTATGGCAACGTCTGAACGGTAAGCCAGCGTCCAGATGCAATGTGGAAGACGTGTCGGAGTGGACGGACTACTTCGATCGCCTTTATAATGCCTCAGCCTCCTTCGATGAGGTGCAGGAGGCCCGTGTCTGTGCCATTCTCAACTGTATCAATCTCGGTACGGGCTCCCAAGTCGGGGCGGCGTGGCGTGATTCCGAACCGGTGCATGCTAGACGGTCTATGGCCGTCACTATGAATGGTCCGTTCACTCTTGAAGAGGTTGAGGCGGCTTTGTCGTCCCTGTCTAATGGGCGTTCCCCGGGTCTGGGTATGGTTCCGGCCGAGTGCTACAAGTATGCCAAGCGAATCCCTCGTGAAGGTGACGAGGACAGGGTGTCTGTCAATGTTATTGCCCCTGCGATTCGAGACCTTTTCCAGCACATTTGGGATACAGGGGATGTGCCTGACCAGTTTTGCGTGGCGTCTCTCAGTCCGTTATTTAAGAAAGGCGACCCCAGGGTCAAGGACAACTACAGGGGTCTAGCTGTGGGATGCGCCATTGCCAAATGCTATGCCACGGTTCTCGACAGGCGGCTGGCAGCTTTCGGGGATAAAGATGGTGTCCGGTGCCGTTTTCAGGCTGGGTCCCGTCAAAAGCGCAGTACAGTTCATCAGTTGTTCGTTGTTCGTCATCTTAAAAGTCGTTATGAGCGGCCCGGCAGCAATCAGGCCCTGTATGCGTTCAGGTGGATTTGAGAAAGCC